CGCTCTTGTTACCCAGGCTGGAGTGCAATGGCGCGATCTCGGCTCACTGCAACCTCCGCCTCCTGGGTTCAGGCAATTCTCCTGCCTCAGCCTCCTGAGTAGCCGGGATTACAGGCACACGCCACCATGCCCAGCTGATTTTTTGTATTTTTAGTAGAGACGGGGTTTCACCATGTTGACCAGGATGGTCTCGATCTCTTGACCTTGTGATCCACCCGCCTCGGCCTCCCAAAGTGCTGGGATTACAGGCTTGAGCCACTGCGCCCGGCCAAAACTCTGTTTCAAAAAAAAAAGAAGGTGGCTCCCTGAAATCCCAGCACTTTGGGAGGCTGAGGCGGGTGGATCACCTGAGGTAAGGAGTTCAAGACCAACTTTACCAACATGGTGAAACCCCATCTCTACTAAAAATACAAAAATTAGCTGGGCATGGTGGCAGACATTATAATCTCAGCTACTCAGGAGGCTGAGTCAGGAGAATTGCTGGAACCTGGGAAGCAGAGGTTGCAGTGAGCTGAGATAGCGCCACTCACTCCAGCCTAGTGACAGAGTGAGACTCCGTCTCAAAAAAAATAATAAAAATAAAATATAAAAATAAATTAAAAATTAGCCAGATGTGGTGGCACATGCCTGTAGTCCCAGCTACTTGGGAGGCTAAGGTGGAGTTCAAGGCTGCAGTGAGCCATGATCGTGCCACTGCACTCCAGCCTGGGAAACAAAATGAAATCCTGTCCCCTGAGAAAACCAAAATTTTCGTCACCTAGTATAATTTATAAACTAATTTATTTTCTGGTGGTTTTCCTCTGGTTAGAATAGCAAGTAACTGTTACCTTACTTTAAAATGGTCAAATAGATTTCTACCTTCTCATTTTATCTATGCAGGCTAAAATTTCTGAGTGCAAGGAAGTATAAATATAACCATCCATGACATGAACTATTCCATTTTCACAAACTAAAGACCTACTATTTACTCACCAAGACAGAATAAAATGTTAGCTGGCTAGTACTGCACAACAGCACATAGCTTCTAAGAAAATGTTTTTATTCATGGCCAGGCATGGTGGCTCACACTTTGGGAGGCGAAGGCAAGTGGATCATTTGAGGTCAGGAGCTCAAGACTAGCCTGGCCAACATGGTGAAACCCCATCTCTACTGAAAATGCATAAATTAGCTGGGTATGGTAATGTACACCTGTAATCCCAGCTACTCGGGAGGCTGAGGCACAAGAATCACTTGAACCCAGGAGGCAGAGGTTGCAGTGAGCCGAGATGGTGCCACTGCATTCCAACCTGGACAACACAGTGAGACCCTGTCTCAAAGACCAAAAAAAAAAGAAAAAAATAAACGTTGTTTTTTTATTATGAAGATTCCAAACTGGAGGTATATTAAGGTATATTAAAAAATTGCGGGCCGGGCGCGGTGGCTCAAGCCTGTAATCCCAGCACTTTGGGAGGCCGAGGCGGGTGGATCACAAGGTCAAGAGATCGAGACCATCCTGGTCAACACGGTGAAACCCCATCTCTACTAAAATACCAAAAGTTAGCTGGGCATGGTGGCGCGTGCCTGTAATCCCAGCTACTCAGGAGGCTGAGGCAGGAGAATTGCCTGAACCCAGGAGGCGGAGGTTGAGGTGAGCCGAGATTGCGCCATTGCACTCCAGCCTGGGTAACATGAGTGAAACTCCGTCTCAAAAAAAAAAAAAAAAATTGCACAAAATGGGGAGCGATAGCAAGGGGAGAAATGCCAGATGTAGGTGATGGGGAGGAAGGCAGCAAATCACACTGCCACGTGTGTTCCTATGCAACAATTTTGCATGTTCTTCACATGTACCCCAAAACCTAAAATGCAATAAAATAAATGGGAAAAAAAAATTGCACAAATGTATCTGGTCAGTCATCACAAGAAGCTAAATTAGAAACAATACTATGATCTTAGTGGTACAATACAAAATATATGGGAGATAATGTTTGTTCATGTTAATGAGTTCAAACTATCTTAGGACTTTATTGCTACCTGTACTTACTGGGTTTTTTTTTTGAGACAGGGTCTCACTCTGCACCCAGGCTATAGTGCAGTGGTGTAATCACGGCTCACAGCATCCTCAATGCCCTAGGCTCAAGTGATCATCCTGCCTCAGCCTTGGAAGTAGCTAGGACTATAGGCATGCACCACCATGTCTGGCTAATTTTTAAATTTTTTTTTTTTTTCAGACGGAGTCTCACTCTGTCACCAGGCTGGAGTGCAGTGGCTCGATCCCAGGTTCAAGCGATTCTCCTGCCTCAGCCTCCCGACAGGTGTGCACCATCACACCCAGCTAAACAGGTTTTCACCATGTTGGCCAGGATGGTCTCAATCTCTTGACCTCATGATCCATCCACCTCGGCCTCCCAAAGTGCTGGAATTACAGGCATTAGCCACCACACGCAGCTAAGTTTTAAACTTTTTATAGAGACAGGGTCTCCCTATGTTACCTAGGCCAGCCTCAAATTCCTGGGCTCAAGCAATCCTCCCGCCTTGGCCTCCCAAAGTGCTCGGATTATAGACTTGAGCTACCACATCTGGCCACTACCTGTACATTGATGGTGTGAGCCAATTCTAGCTGGAATGGGAAAATAGCAATTTCAGCCAGGTGGATGGGCTGTAGTTCTGTTATGAGACACAGATGACTAGTACCAGTATGTATAATGGGTAACAGCAATAGCTGCATATTTGTCAGAAGCTGAAGCCTCTTTGGATGGCAGTTCTCCCCCCAACTCCCAATAACTAAACTCAGAAATATATCTTACACAGCTGAAACCTGTTATTAAAAGTAAACATTTTATTATATAACAAGAGTTGAAGTTTTTGAAAATTAACATCAACAAAACCAAAGCCATTCTAGGCACAACCAAAAATTTTTACAATCAAAACTACCTCGTACTTTTCAGAAATCTGACTGAAAACAAATGGTTGAATGTGCTGCTAACAAAGAAGGCCAAATGATGATGTCTATTGTGGCAGCTGAACAAAGTGAAACTTATAGAACTGTAACTGCTGCCCTGAAAGTAACCGAAGCAGAAAGAGAAGAAAGGAGCTCACAACCAGGACACTCAAACTCAAGCCAGGAGTCCATCTACGATCCAATTCCAGTCAGTCTGACAAGTCACTCTGATCCAGCACGATTATCCTATGCACATGTTTTTTAAAGAACGAAAAAGAAAGTTTTGAGTTGCTGTGTATATTTTTTAAAAACACAAACCACATCCTCTTTCTATTCAATTAAATTTAAGGAAAAGGGATTTTGGTCTTTATAATCAAGGGGGATTAAAACCAACAGCGTGTCATGGAAATGCAAAATGACTGGAAAGCAATTGACAGCAGCATCTTCTGTATTCTCTCTGTATTAAAACTGTTCTTATGCTCACGCTATCACTTATTTAATCAAAGTTGGCATTAATTTCACTTTGTTTTTTTTTTTGAGACGGAGTCTTGCTCTGTTGCCCAGACTGTAGTGGCACGATCTCGGCTCACAGCATCCTCCGTCGCCTGGGTTCAAGTGATTCCCCTGCCTCAGCCTCCTGAGTAGTTGGGACTGTAGGCATGTTCCACCACGCCCGGCTAATTTTTTTGTATTTTAGTAGAGACGGGGTTTCACCATGTTGGCCAGGATGGTCTCAATCTCCTGACCTCATGATCTGTCTGTCTCAGCCTCCCAAAGTGCTGGGATTACAGGTATGAGCCACCGTGCCCAGCCTCACTTTGCATTTTAATTAACTATAAACACTAACATTTAAAAATTGAGCAACTTTGTCTGAATTCAAGTCTTTCTCGTTAATGTGTATTTAGACATGTAAATGTTTTCAAGTCTGCTTCTCTTGTGAGTTTTGATCAGCAAACATCTGATATCTCATTACCTGGATGGTTCGGACCAACCTAGTCGCTTCCAAAAGCAGGGTTTTAGTTCATCTTGATGAAATATAAGAGGAAGGAAAAAAACCACATGATTAATTTCTAGGTCAAAGGGTGCCAGTATTCATATTAATGCTCCCTCTAATTTAGGGTAGACTGTTTTACCTACAATGGTTGTTCTATTCTGCCAGATAGAATATTTCTAAAAACACAGTTAATGGGCTTCCCCTCCTAACATTCTATAGTTTTCTGCTGCAGCAATGGACACTAATGACACTAATTCACAAAGTTCCTGTATCATCTTCTCAGTGAAATCAATGTTATTAACAGCTAAATGCCTACACACTCTGGACCCTGTGCAGTCAGGGTTCTCAAGGAAACTGAATGTGCTCATGGCTGGTTCAAAGAAAGATTCTTAATGAAGTAACTACATAGAGGTTTAGTTAGAGTTAAGGAAACAAACAAGGAATGTCAAGACATCCAGTGATCAGCAGCACTGGGAAGCCTAAGTCTGAAGGAACTGAGTGTTGGAGATAAGAGGTTAGTTACTAGAGCCTAATGAGAGCTGGAATTGGAAAGAATGTGCTGCCTACAGAAGCCACACTTGTGGAGAAACACCACTTCTACCAGGCACAAGGTGCTAAAGTAAGCAGGAAGGCAAATTAATACCCCAACTTCTGTCTAGCCCCATCATTTCTGCTAGGGCCTATCACTGGCTAACAGGAAGCCCAGGAGATGCAGTCCACTCGGGCCAGCATTCTGGGGCACAAAGCAGGGCAGAGATGGGGAGAATGAGAAGGAAATCAGAAAGGGATAAAAGGAATACCAGATGATCTGAAAGAGTTAATATCTCTTAATTCCCTGAGTAGGAAGAACTTAAATATAGGAGAGCATCATTGTAAAGGGCATATCAGAAGCCTTCAAGCTCTATCAAAATAGTTTTAAAATTAAAGTTAATTTATAATTTTCACATTACTTGTAGACTCCATTTAAATTTCATAAAATATTATTTCCTATTGGATTTTGCAGCAATAGATTTAGATTTGTGAGCTAAATTTAAAACTCTTTTGAAGATGTTGGACAATTAGAAGCAAAACATCTCTTCAGACAATGTGCAAGATAATGATGATGAGACTGGGCAAAAGCTTGCTTTAGAAATAGAATTGGATGTTATTACTGTTTTTGTGATAAAGCTATGATTGGAAATTAACAGAAAACCTGGGCTGAACTGCAGGGAAAGATAAATTATCAAAGGTAGGAGGATTATGTATAACATCTGGGAAACATTTCTAAATAACTTTGGTGCACATCAAAGCCCAAGGACTACAGACTACATTAGAAACACTCATTAATTCACACCTTCTTCAGAAGTCCCTAAAACACTCTCTGATTTCCTTCTCTCTGGCGTGATGCTATCTTCCCTTTTTCTCTTCTCTTCACCAACTTCTTGATCTTTGGTATTTGTCTCCCTTTAACAACGATTTAGGGAATGAAAACATATGCATTAACACCCAAGAAAACAGAACTGTACTCAAAAACAAAACAAAACAAAACAAAACAAAACAAAACAAAACAAAACACATGATAACTAGCACTAACAAAAGTGTTCTCTGTGGGCCAGGCATTGGTTTAAGAGCTATAATTTATTTTAGCTCATTTAATTCTCATAACTATATAAGGTAGTTACCATTGCCATCCCCATTAAGCAATGAGGAAACTGAGGCACAGAGAAGTTAAATTACATACCTAATAATTCCTAGAGCTGGAATCTGACTTCAGACTCAGTCTGGCTTAGACTCTACTTTCAACCACTATGCTACATTGCCTCAAACTTAAAAACAAAAGGCATTTTACTTATGTTTTGATTGGTGTCCTTTGCAAAACCATCGTGTATTTGTGTATTTTATCATCTTATCTTCATTTCACAAAACTCTCTCCTAAGTGAAATATGTAAGTAATTTAAGTATCTCACAATTTAAGACCATGTTTGTCAAACTACTAAGCAGAAACCATCTCCTCAAACCAGCTAGAATCTCCTTACAGACAGAGCCATCTTATCGCTCTTTGTGGTACCTCCAACCCCTAGCATAGTGCTTTGCACACTGTCAGTGCTTGGTTGATGCTGGTTGAACCAAAATAACACTGTTTAGGGATTCTTCTGTTTTCATTTGATGGATAGTCAAAACAAAATATGTAAAATGAGAGAGAAAATAAAACCTGCTAGAGTGAAAAGGGATTTTTCCCCTCTTAATATTTTCTCACTAATAGGCTCAAGAGTTGGAGGAAGCCTCTGGGTTATCCTCTGCCCCTGTTCAAATGCCCAAGACAGGTATTTGAAGTTTCACCATATTGGCCAGGCTGGTCTTGAAGTCTTCCTGACCTCAAATGATCTGCCTGAGCAGCAGTAACCATTGCTAAAGTTAAGTGTAAAGGCAGCTGTTTCCCTTTATCAGATAGCTGTAGCTATTAGGTTTGTGCTTTACTGAATAAAAATCTGTTATGGCCGGGCGTGGTGGCTCAAGCCTGTAATCCCAGCACTTTGGGAGGCCGAGGCGGGTGGATCACGAGGTCAAGAGATCGAGACCATCCTAGTCAACACGGTGAAACCCCGTCTCTACTAAAAATACAAAAAATTAGCTGGGCATGGTGGTGCGTGCCTGTAATCCCACCTACTCAGGAGGCTGAGGCAGGAGAATTGCCTGAACCCAGGAGGCGGAGGTTGCGGTGAGCCGAGATCGCGCCATTGCACTCCAGCCTGGGTAACAAGAGTGAAACTCTGTCCCAAAGAAAAAAAAAAAAAAAATCTGTTACTCTGCACTTTCTAGTCTCTAGTCAGTCTTCTGGGGCAGAAAAGTAAGCCGACTCTCTTCACTTCACAATATTTCAGGAATCTGAGGGCAGCTACAAATTCCCTTCTCCATCTGCTCTTCTCACGCTGAGCTTCTCAGCTCCTTCAGCTGTTCTCATATGACATGGTTTCCAGACCTCTGACTATTCTGTGGCCACACTCTTGTGTTTGTTAATATCTCTTTTAAAATGTGACACCCAGAAAGGAGCCCCACGTGTGTCCTAGGAGTCCTCTAAACAATTCATTCCCATCATCTGGACAGTACATTTCTATATATCCAGCATCAATGCTGCATTGACCTTTTCAGCACTTCATCAAACTGAGGGCTCATAAAGTCATTGCCCATGTCTTCCTCAGGAAGAATTTCTTGACTTCTCATCATGTCTCAAGACGCATGGCTCAGTGCTGGGCATAAAAAAATAAGACATATTTCTTGTCCTCAATGAAATTATAGTGAGCAGGAGCTTCTGATGACTTCTCCAATTAGGGCAGGTCTCATACATTCTGTAATTTTGAATCTTTGACCTTTATCTTTTATAGAATCTAACATTTCCATCTGTCAAGATGATTTTGAATCCTCCGTCTATCACTCATCACATCAGCATTCGTTCCTTGTTTTGTGTTATCTAAAAATTTGATAAGCATGCCTTTTCTGATTTAATTCAAATGACTGATGAAAATGTCAAAGGTAGCAGGGCCAAGATACAGCAAACTTAGAAGCCTCTGTCTATACTGATAAAAATCTGCTAATCAGTATCTTCAGTACTGTGGGTGGTCAGAGGAAGAGGGGAAAATGTGAGTGCAGACAGATGGAGTCAGGGCTAGCTTATCTAAATCAATGTAATGCCATCACCAGGCATTCATTCTCTGAGAAGTCTAAAACCTAGCCCCACTTCCTGAAAAAGAAGAAAAGGATCCCCTCTTGCGGAACAATAACCTTTCAGAGCCCTTGGGAAGGTCTTGTAGCTCCATGCTCTCCTCAGGTGGCTGCAGCAATCTTTCCAGGTCCTCATCCAGAGTAGAGTGAGCTCTGTCCAAGGACAAGTGAAGAGAATGGAGACAACAGTCATTTCCCATCTTCCTCGACAAAGATGCCTAACACCTTACAGTGAAAAGGGACCTTATAACCTTATAAGGACCTTATAACCTCACAAGCTCAGTGAGATTGTGTCTGGAGTCATAAAAGTTACTTAGATCTGATTGAAATATGCACTGGCCAGGCGCAGTGGCTCACATCTGCAATCCCAGCACTTTGGGAGGCCGAGGTGGGCACATTACTTGAGGTCAGGAGTTCAAGAACACCCTGGCCAACACGGTGAAACCCCATCTTTACTATAAATACAAAAATCAGCCAGGTGTGGATGTGTGCACCTGTAACCCCAGCTACTCGGGAGGCTGAGGCAGGGGAATGGCTTGAACTTAAGAGTTGGCAGCTGCAGTGTGCTGAGATTACACCACTATACTCCAGCCTGGGTGACAAAGCGAGACTCTGTCTCAAAAAAAAAAAAAATGCACCGAAATAGTCCTTCAATGCCTTGACAAAAAGCCTCAGTACCTATTAAGTTCACTGCTTCCCAAAATCTGATACTAGACTCTGTCTCAATTCTAGGTCACTGAGTCAGTTTTCTACCTGAGGCTAGAACTATACATGCTTTCCTACATGTTTTTCCAAGAAAAAGCAAGAAGATGCAGGGTAGAGTATTTTAAGAAGGCCTGAAATTCCCACCCATCTGAAAAAATATCTTCCACTCTGGCTTGGTGCCTGGATTGATCATTCACAGCACTGAGATGACCGAGCATCGGTGGAGCATCTATCTGTGGCCAGCATTGCTGGTCCTTTTGGCAAAGGAAGATACAACAGTAACAGTAGCTAACTTTTGATCATGTAAAAAGAACTTAATTTTTTTTTTTTTTTTTTTGGAGACGGAGTCTCGCCCTGTCACCCAGGCTGGAGTACAGTGGCGCCATCTTAACTCACTGCAACCTCCACCTCCTGGGTTCAAGCAATTCTTCCACTTCAGCCTCCTAAGTAGCTGGGCCTACAGGTGTGTGCTACCATGCCTGACTAATTTTTAAAAAATATTTTTAGTAGAGATGGGTTTTGCCATGTTGGCCAGGCTGGCCTCAAACTCCTGACTTCAAGTGATCCACCCATCTCAGCCTCCCAAAGTGCTGGGATTACGGATGTGAGCCACTACACTTGGACCCTGTAATCTCAGCACTTTGGGAGACAAAGGTGGACGAATCACTTGAGCTCGGGAGTTTGAGGCCAGCCTGGGCAACATGGCGAAACCCTATCGCTACAAAAAAATACAAAAATTAGCCAGGCATGGTGGCACGAGCCTGTAGACCTAGCTACTTGGCGGCTGAGGCAGGAGGATCACTTGAGCCCAGGAGGTCAAGGCTGCAGTGAGCAGTGTTCATTCCCCAGTGCACTCCAGCCTGGACAACAATGTGAGACTGTGTCTCAAAAAATAAAAAGAGAAGACTGGGCGCAGTGGCTCATGCCTGTAATCCCAGCGCTTTGGGAGGCCGAGGCAGGTGGATCACAAGGTCAGGAGTTTGAGACCAACCT